TTTCCTATTAAGAAATTAACGTGATTGAAATCCAAAACAATGTAGTGGAAATGTGACATTTTGATAGATGGGGAAGGAGAGGCGCACGCACAAGAATGAGAATTATCTTAGGATCCAAAGATAAAGGCCTGGATCTAGTTTCTCTTTAAATTAACTTGGAAAGGGCAGTAAACTCCAGATAAGCAGGCGGAGGAAGTGCCTTTTGGCTTAAGCTGGGTTTTACTTGGTTGCAATGATTTAGAAAGGGCTGTTAAATAGTGCTTTGGGGGCACTACTGAAAAAACATGATTATACTTTCCTTCCCTGCCACGAACAGTGTTACGTTTTTTTATGTTTTTTAACTTCACCAGACGCTAGATTTGGAGGGTTAATTTTGAAGTTTGAAGGCATGCTTACAATCTTGTCTCAGGCTAGAGCTGATTGGGAACAGCTCCTTTGATTGGTAATTATTCCTTGCCTTCACCAGAATTAAGAGAGGCCTAACAGCCAGTTTTCTTCTTACCTTTTCTACCTTTCACAAGAGCACGGGAAGCTCCTTACAGTAATTCCACGTTGGGAATGAGTGATGGAGAGAGGATACCTTGCACCTGTTTCTTAACAACCAGCAAATCTGTGCACGGCAGCCTAGGCGCCTTCCTAGGATCCTGCGTTCCCAAGAAATGCCATTTGCTGGTCCTCGCAAAGAGCTCATGCGCCCACGCAAGCATCTCGCCCACCACTTCCTGAGCTGGTGACTTTGGCCCCGCCCCCATCTGAGCAGCGCGTAGGTCCACCCACCTGGGCACCGTGGAGCCCCGCGGGCCCCGCAGTTCTTTTGGTTACTGGGGAGCTGGTGCCCACTCCTCCTGAGGGATGGAAGAGATGCGCTTGACGCCCGCCCAAGCCAACCACCTTTCCAAATATCTCTGGGACGGCTTCCCTCTACAACCCAGGGTTTCAGGAACTGAGGGCCCACCCAAAAGGCCTGCAAAAAACACCGTCAATCAGGACCTCTGTAGCACCGTCACTGTTCGGCATGTTTAGGACACGCTTGTGGCAGGAGGGAGGAAGAAAGAGGGAATAGGGGCTAGAACTTAAGGCTGCTGATCCTGGGTGTGTGATGCTGGGAAGACTTACTCCTGGTCACTTTAGAAGGACTTGGCTGCTAGTTCTAAGGCGAGTGCTGGTGCTTCTTTCCCACCATAGCCAGTCCATAGGAGCTGATCTTCAGTTCCATTGCAGCAGGGAGGTAGGAGATCAGGACTTGTTTTTCCAGCACCAGTAAGGCTCCTGCTGATCAAAAACAGGATGTAGCAGAGAAAGCTGCCAGAAACCGAAAGAGGGCAAGGAAAGCAACCTGTTTGCTCTCACTGATCATTATTAAAGACACTCCCACCAGAGCCGTGGCAGTTCACAAATGCCATGGCAACACTTGGAAGTTCGCTTGTATGGTTCCAGAAACTCCCTGCCCCTTTTCTAGAAAATTTAAAATAACCCACCCCTTAATTAGCATGGAATTAAGAGTGAATATAAATATAGCGGCAACCCATGCTATAGCTCCCGCTCTGGGCTCTCCATTTGCATGCTATAAGACACTTCCACCAGTGCCATGACAGTTTACAAATGCCATGGCAATGGCAGAAAGTTACTTTATATGGTTCCACAAACTCCCTGCCCCTTTTCCAGAAAGTTTTTGAACAAACTGCCCCTTACTTAGCCTGTAATTATAAGTAGGTATAAATATAGCTAGCCGGCAGTCCACAAGTGCTGCTGTGCCAGGGCTATCCTGCTGTCTATGGAGCCACCACTTGTGCTGTATGGTTCTCTTTAAAAACTTGCTTGCTTTCACTGTTGGCTGGCTCTTGAACCTGGCCAAGAACCCTCCCGGACTGAGCCCCCGTTTGGGGGTTCACCTGTGTCACTGTGAGTAGTTAAGGGAGAGGAAAACAAAGCAGCAAAATACACCTATGGGGATGGGGGAACAGAATTGAAAGTCCCCTTTGAGGTTTGGGGAAGAGGATGATTAGGGAGCATCAGCGAAAGGAAATAAGGAGTTTCAGAATGGGGGAGAAACTGATAGACTGAAAAGGGACTGGTTTAATGATGCCTTCCAGGGCAAGCAGGTCAGAGGTCCAGAAAACCTGTCCAGAAAATGAAGGATTAGTTATGGATGGCATAGAGGGTCAGCAGTGAGAAACGAGATGACCTCTCCCCAACCAGCACTGGTTGTGAGACCCTCTTCTCACTTTTAGAGCAGGAGGGGGAGGAAAAGAGACCACACACACCAGTATCTCCTGGCATTCTTCATGTGCCCACTCCCCTTCCAGCCCCCTCAAAATACCTTCACTGCACTTTACAAGGCAAACTCTGCCAACTGTCTGAGGATGAGTAGCCCATTTAAAAATAGTTAACATATCCCTTTTGGTCATTTTAGATATTGTAGCCAGAGTAATGCTGTACTCAACTTTCTACAATGCTTTACTTTAGTACCACAGACAAGTACCACTACTATTAGTACTACTACTACTACTTTTTACACGATTGAAAAGTGGCTCTTCCACCTCTTTCCAATCAGGAAAATTCTTGGTACCTCCTAAGGAGGGGTGGAGAGAAAACTTGGGAATAATTGGTTATCAACCTCTCTCCAAGCCCACCTGATACTCTTCTCGCGTCCCTTTCTCACCTGTGGATTCAACACAACTCCTTTGCACCTGGAGCACCTCCAAGCAACTGCAACCACCTCCCTCACTTTTCTACCAGATCTGCAGATGCCTGAACTGGCAGTACAAATGCTGGCACCGATCCCTGGAGCGGTCAAAAGGGCACAGAAAATGGCAAAAGTAACCGGCAGAGGGCAGCGTGGGCTGCTGCTCCAGGCCTCCGCCACTGGCTCAGAAACTGTGAGCACTGTTGGTATAGATCAGGCAAAGGTGAGCGCCTGTCCTGCTGCCTGTTCCCGCAAGGGTGGCGTCTTATATAGCCCATCACTACTCAAAGGCGGAGCTCCGTAGCTTTCCCAACCAATGGCGAGCGAGACTGGGCTGGAGTCTGGGGCGAAATTTCGGAGTGAAGGACTCTGACAATGGATAGTAGGGGAAGTGGCAGGTGAGAGTAAAATGTGTGTTTATTCTCGCGGGGAAGGAGGATTATAGATACCCAAACTAAAGGAAAGGAAAACAATTTCCCAAGAGCCGAAAGAACACCCGAGTTAAGGAACCTTATGTGTCTTGGGTACTGGACCTGTGTTGCTCCTAAAGACTTTTGTTGCTAGTCTGACTATTCACCTTCATGGATCATGGAGAGAACCTCAGACTGGAAGCACAGCACAGCAGGTGCTCTTAGGCAATTTATCTGACTTACCTGAACTTCTGTTTTTTTATCTGTAAAATAAACTCACCTTTCATAAGATAGTAGGATTTAATGTGATACAGTGTTCTAAAGCGCCTATTATAAAGTAGGCGCTTTAGAACATTGTAAATGAAAATGAAACAAAGTAAATGAAAGCTGTTGGTATGGTAAGAATTGAAGAGGGTGATGAAACATGCCCTAAGTTATTCTCCCATATTCATACATATCCCGAAAAGACATGATGCATGTCCCTAAACCCCTCCACTTCAAACTAATGTCTTTTTTTTTTTTTTTCTTTCTGAGATGTAGTTTCGCTCTCTCACCCAGGCTGCAGTACAGTGGCGTGATCTCAGCTCACTGCAACCTCCACCTCCTGGGTTGAAGCAATTCTTTCACCTCAGCCTCCTGAGTAGCTAGGATTAGAGGCATGTGCCACTACACTCGGCTAATTTTTCTATTTTTAGTAGAGATGGGGTTTAACCATGTTAGCCAGGCTGTTCTCAACTTCCTGACCTTGTGATCCGCCCACCTGGGCCTCCCAAAGTGCTGGGATTACAGGCACAAGCCACTGCACCCAGCCGAAACTAATTTATAAAAAGGAAACATTGTCCCTATTTTTTGTCTTTGTAAATTGAAATACTTTTGTTATGGATAGCCACAAAAGTCACTAATAAACTTGAATAAGTCTTTGAAAGGCATTGCTTTTCTTTCAGGGGAACATAGCAATCCTGGACGCCTGGGGGAAGAGAGAAAGAAGGGCACTTCAGTGGTAAAGGCTTAGGGTCCATGAGTCCCCATCTAGGAAATTACCTGTTGGAATTCCCCTCTTCATCGCTCTTCTTCTGGAACACCGTGTTGTCTCAAACAATTATGGATACTTTAGAAATAGAAAAATATGGCCAGGTGCGGTGGCTTACTCCTGTAATCCCAGCACTTCAGGAGGCCAAGGCGGGCAGATCATGAGGTCAAGAGATCGAGACCATCCTGGCCAACATGGTGAAGCCCTATCTCTACTAAAAATACAAAAAGTAGCCAGGTGTGGTGACGTGTGCCTGTAGTCCCAGTTGCTCGGGAGGCTGAGGCAGGAGAATTGCTTGAGCCCGGGAGGCAGAGGTTGCAGAGAGCCGAGATCGCGCCACTGCACTCCAGCCTGGAGACAGAACGAGACTCTATCTCAAAAGAAAAGAAAAAAGAAATGGAAAAATATCTTTTCTTTCTTACTCTTTGCCATGTGAGAGCAGCCCCTGATGACTTTTAAACAATTCAAGAAGGCTAGGAGTTCCTACCACTAATTTAGTTTCATCTCTTGATGGCACAACTGTTTTGTCAATAAAACATGAACAGGTGTGTTCTTTTTGCTTCAGTGGTGGTGAGGGGGCGCACAGGTAGTGGTAAGTTCCCTGGTGTTCTCAAAATGCCCCTGGGGAAGGTAAGTATCTAAATGTCCTTGTTTTAAAATGAACCAGCCTAGAGAAAATATCTTTCAAAGTCACTCTCCAGGAATGCTTTTACTTGATGAGTTTCTCACACCTTAAATTATTTTCTTGTGCATTTTCCATTAAATTTTATAACTGAGAGATAATTTTTATTGAGTCTGTCCTCCTTTTAAGACACCAGAATGTCTCAGCAGAGCTTCAAACTCATGACATTAACAGAAGACATAAAGAAAGTTCTTTTGATGACAAAAGAATTAAAGTTATTTATTCATCAGTATGATTTCTTCACCAGGTTCCACCTCTTACTCAGTGCATCTCATCATCTGAGCCTGTGGAAATATCCGTCATCATCTTAGATTCTGATGTTCTTGTGCCTGATCTTCTCATATCTGAAGAAGTGGTGCCCAATAATGTGCTGCTCTCTCCACTCTTGGAAAAGGATGTATCTGATACACCTTCTGATGGATGAAAGTAAGACATCGTGGCCAGCTCTGGGTTGACAGAGTATTGACTCTCACAACTTTTATAACTGAGGAAGAAAAGAACATATATCAAGAATTGTTTTTAATTGTGTACATTTGTAACTCAGCTTAGACAAGCATTCAGAAATTAAAATATATGAATTTTGCCCAGTGTATTAGTTACTTAGTAACATTATATAAATGATATATAGTTTCTCCTTTTCTTTTTCTTTTCCATTTTTTTTTTTTTTTTTTTTTTTTTTTGAGACGGAGTCTTGCTGTCACCAGGCTGGAGTGCAGTGGCGCAATCTTGGCTCACTGCAACCTCCGCCTCCCAGGTTCACATGATTCTCCTGCCTCAGCCTTCCGAGTAGCTGGGACTACAGGCACGTGCCACCATGCCCAGCTACTTTTTGTATTTTTAGTAGAGACGGGGTTTCACCATGTTGGCCAGGATGGTCTTGATCTCTTCACCTCGTGATCTGCCCGTCTCGGCCTCCCAAAGTGCTGGGATTATAGGCGGGAGCCACCGCGGCCAGCCTAGTTTTTCTTTCATTGTAATTTGATTATATTTAACACTTTGAAGCATGTTTCAAATCTCTAGAATTTATAAACCAATTTACTAAAATAGTAAAAGTTGCCTTAACGAAAGTTTAATAAGAAACATGTACAATGAAATTGAATGAAGGGGAATAAATACCTAGGATCACAGTTTTAATGAGCCAGAGAAATACACCATTCATCAAAAACACCACAATGAAAAGAATGGAATTAATGATCATTATGAACATTAAGCAATTGTTAGGATTTTTGAAGGTAATCTGTTACACTGCCTGAAAAATGTTAAATAATTCCCTTAATCAGGCTTGAGTTGAATTTAATATTTTGGTAAGAAAGAGCCAATGGACAGGTCTCACAGTGTAAAGGTGATAGAGACTGGCTGTTTTTTGAAAGTCTCAAGGCTTGCTTGAATAAAAAACATTAGATGCTAAGCAGATGTGCTATTTAGAACAGAATATATTTGTTCCAGGGCTATATAAAAAACAGCATATCTAGATTCTCTTTATCCTTTCCAATTGACTAAGGTTATTTCTATCTCTGGATGACCATTGGGAAAAAGTTCAAGTAGGATATTCCCTTAAAGACAGCCCAATGCTCCATCTGAATACGGTAAATGGAATCAATTTGAATGCCATGTGGATAAATTCAGAGGTCACATATTCCTAAGAATCTACTAAAGAGAGGAGGGAGAGAATGCGATGTCATGCATTTGTTGTAAAGACTGCAGAGGTCTGTAGACTTACGTCAGATGCCTCAGTTTGTACAGTGTAGCACTACAGAATGCCAGGAGGACCACAAAGAGGAGGAGGGTCATCAACGAGATTCCTAGCATTAGTTTGATCTTCAGATCCTCTAGATCTGGCTGATTTTCTCCCTGTGTAGCATTCACATCAGACTCTGAAAAGAAAGAAAATACAGTGGAAAATAGGGTGATCAGTGTGTTTTCCTGAAGGAGTAAAGATTGCAAAGCAAATACAGAGAAGCAAGCCCTCCACCATCCAGAGTACTAACTGGCCGGCCTCCCATCCCACAGGCAATGCAAAGGAGAAAGCTACTCTCTAAAGCCAAACACTCTTAACTTTCCTCTTTAACCTTCACAGCAATCCTGAAGGAGCTGTCCTTAGCTCTGTTTTACAGTATCACAGAAGTTTCTGTATTTGCCCATAGCACATAGTAAGTGGCAAAATCTGGTTTCAAACCCAGATTACCAGATGTCAAAATGCATGTATAGCAGACTTTATCTGATTTAATCTACCATGTCTGAAGAGATTATTATCCAAAATGATTGACTTACACCCAAGTGACCAGTCTTTCAGGAGGTAAAGGTGCATGCTCTAGTGTTGGGTCATGCACTAATTTTTCTTTTAAGCTAAAAGGGTGGGGTATAGTGAATGCTTCTTCCCTGAGGCTTAAGAGATAGTTTTGCCATTTTATTACTGAAAAGACTAAATCTAGTGTACTTCACATTACAAAAATAAATAGAATCCATTTATTTAACTTTCTAAAATAAGTTAAATATAATATTATGTCTGGATCCAGAGATATCAAGAATCTTTTTTTTAACTAAATCTATTAATGAAATGATAGCTTTACTGCCAAATTTTATATTTGCCTGAATATATATCTCACTTAATAAACATTTAATGATGACAATATGTCGTTATTTCTCCCCTTTCCCCTAGCTAACCCCCAGCATCTGCCAACTCAAAAGTTCCAAGGGTTTTCACTATTTTCTAGGTAACGATATTTAGGTCATAAGCAATGACAAGCTTCCATGTCTATATTCTCTGATTTTTAAAAATTATAATTGTCAATGTGTGACCTTAGACCATGAAAATGTATACAGTTGTCAATGACTCTTTTAATGCTTTGAGGTCTATTATTTCGGGAATAATCAGACAAATTATGTTAAAATGGGCTGCGCTCCTGAATTGCTTTTTCTGTTTCCTGAAAGGATTTTTAATAAAGATGTGTGCTCATAGTATATCTTCTTTATCTAGGTGATGGTCAGAACTAGAGAAGGGTTTGGAACTCATAATCTCTGGAAGTTACAGAAAAGCTAGTTACAAGCGTGGGCAGCTTTTCTCTCTAAGCCTCAGTCTTCTTAACTGTAAAATGAAGATAATACCAACTTCATGGAGTTGCTGTGAGGACTAACATAATAATGTGCCTACAACACCTAACATGTAGTATGTGCTCAATAAACAATAAAATCAATCAAGCTCTATTAAATAGAAGAAATGGCAAAGTATTTATAAAGTGAGCCAGCATTTGTCATTCCTGTTTATAACTTTTCTAAACAAAGAAGAATCACTCAATTTTCTTTTCTTTTTTTCTTTCTTTTTTTTCTTTTTTCTTTTTCTGAGATGGAGTCTTGCTCTGTCGCCCAGGCTGGAGTGCAGTGGCGCAATCTTAGCTCACTGCAACCTCTGCCTCCCAGGTTCAAGCTATTCTCTTGCCTCAGCCTCCTGAGTAGCTGGAATTACAGGCAACCGCCACCATGCCTGGCTAATTTTTTTGTATTTTTAGTAGAAACGGGGTTTCACCATGTTGGTCAGGCTTGTCTCGAACGCCTGACTTCAGGTGATCCGCCTGCCTCAGCCTCCCAAAGTGCTGGGATTACAGCGTCTAGTCAAATCACTCAATTTTCTTGAAGTACCACAAGGCAAATGGCCACAACTATCAATCCAGCACACAAATGAGGTGACAGGTCTTAGATATGTCATCATCCTATTTTTCAACCAATTATTTGTAGGAGAGAGGTTTTCTGGGGGAAATTGATGTGTTTTTTTCATGAAGTTTTCCATTCAAATCAGGAGTTTATTTTACTTCTATTAATATAATTAAGTCATTAATGAAAACCATATCCAGCAGCAGGGGCTCACATTCATTGCTGGTGAGAATTCCAAAAATACTTTGGAAGATAGTCTGGTAGTTTCTTACAAAAATAACCACTCTCATCTTCCCACCTTGCCCTTCCAAAGTGCTAGGATTATAGGCAAGCCACTGCACCTGAACATAGTCTTACTATATGATCCATAAATCATATTCATAGGTGTTTACCAAAATGAGTCGAAAACATATGTCCACACAAAACCCCGCACACAAGTGTTTACAGCAGCTTTTTTCATAATTGCCGGAAATTGGAAGCAACCAAGATGTCTTTCAGTAGATGAATGAAGTAGGGTACATTCATACAATGGAATATCAGTGATAAAAATAAATGAGCTCTCAAGCCACAAGAAAACACAGAGGAATCTTAAATGCATATTGCAAAGTGAAAGAAGCTAGTCTGTAAAGGTTACATACTGTATGACTCCAACTATATGACATTCTAGAAAAGGCAAAACTATAGAGATAGTAAAAAGATCAGTGGTTGTCAGGGGTTCGTGGGGAGAGAGGAACAAAGGGATGAATTGATGGGGGCAGAGGAGATTTTAGGGCAGTGAAACTTTTGTATGATACTGGGATGGTAGACACGTGATATTTTGCATTTGTCAAAACCCAAAGACCTGTATAATACAAAGAGTGAATCCTAATGTAAACTATGGACTTCAATTAATAATGAATCACTATTGGTTCATAAATTGTAACAAATGTACCACATCATGCAAGACGTAGGGGAAACTGAGGAGGGTTGAATATGGAAATTCTGTACTTTCTGCCAAATTTTTCTTTAAACCCAAAACTGCTCTAAAAATAAAGTCTGTTTTTAAAAAAGACTGCATTCTACATATTATTCACTCACCTCCTCCATTTGGTTTCAGGGATAAATGTTACAAAACAGGAAGGTGGTAATGGTCATCTGCAAAGTATAACTAAAAAAGAATGCTTAGGAACTATAACTCTCCTAAACAGTAAATGTCCTCTCTGAGATGTTAGTCACCATGATACCGCCTTTCATACACCAAAAACAGTATCATCATAAAGACACTAAGATGTGTAAGAGTATTTATGTGTCTATTAATTGAAGTACTTTGGTTTGTTTGTTGAGACAGGGTCTCACTCTGTCACCCAGGCTGGAGTACAATGGCATGCCACCATGTCCGGCTAATTTTTGCATTTTTTGTAGAGAAAAGGTTTTTGTTATGTTGCCCAGGCTGGTCTCCAACTCCTGGACTCAAGCGATCCACCTGTCTCAGCCTCCCAAAGTGCTGGGATTATAGGCATTAGCCACTGCACCCAGTCAATTGAAATATTTTGTTCTTACCTGGAATTGGGTGAAATAATTGATCTTTATCATCCATGACCACTGTTGTTCCATTTATAGCTGTTAAAACAATAAATTGGTGTTATGGTAAACAACATTCACTTACTAAAATTATTGATGGTGTATGTATGTGTGTATAATATGTACAGTGTGCTCTCATTATTTATGGCAGTTATGTTCTATAAAGTCCTATAAACACTGTATTAGCAAATACTGAACTGTTCCTCCCAGGGTAAATACAGGGTTAGATTCCTGCAAGTCTGGTCACAGCATTTTCATCAACTGATCAATAAATAACCTTGTTTTATGTGTGTTTCTGTTTAAAGATACTTCACTTAATATATATTGTTGATACATTAACACTGAACTCATAGAAAACAGCACTATAACACTTGCCTGAACGAAGCTTCTCTAACACATATTAGCTCCATAAGGAACATCACAGCCTTCTTGCACTTAGGAACACTAACCAGCAATTTAACACTACATTTGGGGGCCATTTTAAATAGCAAAATCATCAACAAAAAAGCACAAAAAATGCAAAAAATGTGGCACTAAGTGGGGTGCAAAAATGACACTTATTTACAGAATGAGAGCTGAATAAAGAAGGCAGAATATTGCCTTGTTCTATTTCAGCTGGGAATGTGTGTGTCAGACAATTAAAAATTTTCAAAGCTCTGCCAATGTCCATAAATGACTGTGAAGGTGTTGCAACTACTGATTTTGGGGTGACAAAGAAATATTAATGAGTAGGTGATACAGAATGCAAACACAGAATATGGAAAAATGATCAACTGAATATGGTATATATTTCACATATACAATGCATATATTTCTGTGTGATACATGCATTACCTTTATACATGTGTACATCCATATATGCACATGCATTTATACACACATGCATAGAAATACTATGTACATCATGTTATACATGCATGCTTATATATTTATGATACACACTTTTATGCATGCATATATTTTGATATATACTTTGCATTTATACATGCATCTCTGTGTGCTTTTGCATGCACTGCTCCAAACACAAAGATGAATGATATTGAGCAAGAATCTTACTGAAAAATTTAAATCATAAATAAATTGAATAACTAACATTTGTAAGAGAATAAAACTTTTGTAAAGAGTGGGCAATCAGAAAATGTGTGACACTTTATCACCTTTCTAGGTTTGTTTTGAATTTTGCTATTATGAGGGACAACAAAATATTGACTTATCAACTCAGTATTAGAGGTATTTAGAGTGATCTTAGCTTTAAGTAAGATTTTAGAAAACCAAAACATTCCCCGAGCTACCTAGCTGTATGACTTTACCTTTAGCTAACATTGTCCAAAATGCAGGCAGGTTTGGGGTTGATCCTGTTAAAACAAAACAAAACACAACAACAACAACAACAAAAACAACAGAATAACAAAATAATTTAGTTTGAGTAACAGTCATTTGTTTGTTAGTCATTTAGCAGTCAAACTTTGAGCTCCTACAGTGTGTCAGACCCTGGGGTTGGCACTAACTTATACACAAGTAAACAAGGCTCAGACATTACAGTCAAGGAACCCACCTTAATTTTAGATGCAGACAAGAATCATTGCTGTTTATGTAGCAGGATAATGAAGGCGTTAGTAGAAATGCACAGGTGGTATGCACAGGGCTTAATTCAACTTGTTAAGGCCAGAAACCCTTCAAAAGGGAGATGATGTTCCCATATAAGCTTAGAGAACTAGCAATTGTTCACCAGGTAAACAAGGTGAGAGCGAGCTCATTCCAGCCGTGAGCAAACGCGCACTCATAGGCAGGCTCAGTAAGCTCTGGGAGCTTCAGGTAAGTCTGGAGTGAAGGGTGTGGATGGGGAATGTAACCAGAGTTGAGAGTGGAACATTTTCACAGTGGCCAGATTGTTTTGGAATTGAATGCTTGGTTAAGGAGTTAAAACTTGACCCCAAACTTAGTAGTAAGTTCCTAGGGACGTTTAAGAAGGGGAATGTCAGGATGATCAGGTTTTCATTTTTAAACATATCAAAAAAGATTTTTTTCAGTAGTGTTAAAAATGCAAACTCAGAATAATTACATTAGAAACATACTTGGATTGCATGAACTGGAGAAAATAGGGTTTCATGTAACGACACAAAGGTATCCATTCTCTTCAATTAGACCACTCATTCAAGACCTTAGAGGAGAGCCATCCTGGGTTGTTACGGCTCCACAAATATTTTATAAGGAACAGTATTCTTGAGAGGGAAGTAAAGTGGTCATTTTGATTTTGCAGCCTCCCACTCCCAACCCCCAACCTCAAATAATCTTAGGAAACACTAACAATTGATCCTAACCAGAGATAAGTTTATTCCTCAAGCAGGCAGAATATTTTTCATTATTAGCAAAATGAATTATATTTCAAATACATTCGCTATATACTTATATTTATAAATATATGCTAATTTGTGAATACGTATTTAATATAGACACAAATGTGATACAATTTTATTAAAATAAAATTCTATTTCTACAAATGCTCATTTCCCATCCCTTGTCAGGTATACCTGAAGACTGACTCTTAGACATTCACCATTTAAAAGATTTTAGTGAATTTAAAAGGTAGCAGTGTAAATTCTTTAAGCATGCTATGACTTTATGTAATGCTCAGAGTAGTGAAACTTAAATTTTTAAGTCACATAATGATATGCTCCAGGTATGAATACAGTGTAGTAATTTAAATACTTGGAATATTTTTATGAGGGGGTTCGTTAGTAGTTGTTTCTTCTTCACTGGCGGATTTTTCATATGTAGTTGCATTGACAATTTTATCTAGGAAAAGGGAAAAAGAATGATTGGCATGTAAAAATACTGACTACACATCTGAGATTAGATATTTTTTAAGCTAAAAATGGAACAAAGAAAAGGAGAGAGAAGAACAAAGAAAAAGGAAGAGAAAGACATTAACATTTTCCTGAAATAAATTAAAGGAAAAAGAAGAAGGTATTGAAGAATAAAGTTTTTGTGATCATGGGGTGCCTGAGGTGGGATTAACATGACTATGATTTGTGAAAGAGAGGAAAAGGAACATGTGGCCACAGGCTTTCTTTAGAGGTAAAGAAGATCTCTTGGAGAAGATAATTGGCTCCAGATGGTTCCCTGCACAGGCCGCGAAATGATCTTCTTTGTCCAGAGCAGCATGGCTGCTGTTCAGCGTAACGACGCAAGAAAGGGAGGCTGAATATTAAGTGTGCTTGTAAATTGGAAACAGACATTTGGATATAAAGATTTCGGACTACAAATCAAGGGTTTTCAGGTCTAATTTAGTATATATCTCAGCCTGTAATAGGTCCCTCTGGAGGTATGTCACTAAGGGAGTGTTTGGTAACAACTGTGACTGGAGGACCCTTTCTTCAAGTCGATGGCCATTTGGCCATTTCAGTTAACTGTTTAATACAGGAGTCAATAAAGTTCCATACGGAGTGCAGGGCACCCATTATAGGAGGACTTCTACAGAGGGGCAGAAAAATTTCACACTGAGCCAGCCCACAAACCCATGACAGGTGTCTTGCTGACAAGGAAGGTTGGGAGAGGGAATCAGTTACTGGAGTTGATAGTGATTCAAGCAGCACTCGAAAAACTAGTAAGTCATCCTTAAATTCTGCTTTGCAACCCTTATCCTCTGGAGAAAAGCATCTAGATTGCCTCAGTTTACCCCCCTTGCCTTCAGAGTTTTAGGGACTATACTTAAGCAAGCAACCCTTAGTCAAAGGTATCCTCAGATCTCCATCTTCCTGAGGGCTTGCTCCCCTAGAACATCCCCACCATGCCAGCAGGTCTCCTTCTATCACAGCCCCATTTAAAATGGCAGGAATGTCTTATTCTCATCCCACTTTCCCTGACAATCCTCTGGGAGCCTGAATTGTGGAAATAAAAGTGAGGGTTTTGCAGTCTCTTCCTTGGGTCCTGCGGTCTGTACTCAGTAACTCATATCCTAAGGGAATTTGAGGTACCTGGTCCACTTAAGAGCTGCCTCTCCATGTCTGGTCCCAGACAACTCAAGATATTGTTTGTTGTGCATAAGCAAGATTCCCATGAGTGATTTACTGAGTTAATATACACCCTTGAAATGTCACTGTCTCATTTAAATCCCAGGGTTTGAAATTGCTCAAAATATTTCATTATTATCAAGTAGCTTTGTTAATAATTAGGCATTCCTGAGTTTCACATTTCTCAATATTGACATTGCCGTAGCTAGAAACATTCTCTCTTCCCCATTTAAAGCTGAAGATAAAACCCAGAAAGGCATAAAAATGTGGGTTTAAGAAAGATGTAAATTTTCCTAGAATCCTAAATTTAGTTATTATTTAATTTTTCTTTCCACGTAAACCAAATGTATGAGGTTTAGAAATGCAAGAACCTCCCCGGATTCTGAAATGATCAGTGTAATGGAGGTGGAGCCTCAAGCGTATTTGTGTGGGAGGAAGTGTGAGAAAAGCAGAGAGGATGGCCAAGAGCTAAGCTGGATCCTAGTCATAGAATCAACTTTAGAGGGAAAACATCAGTCTTATTTAGGAATGAAGACTTTTTTTTCTCCCCAGCAGTCTCTATTGCTGTTTTGAAATCTCTTTAATGGCTTTTACATGTGCAATGGTGCCTTTCACTACTTACAGTTTTTTAGAGAAAAATTCAGGTCAGTTGTGGCTCTCACAGTTATTTCAGACTCAGTGCCATTTGGATTTTGTGTTGTTAACACATCTAAAAACAAAAGCAAAAGTCTTTAGCAATTAGCTAAGTCACTTTTTTCCCTTACCTTTTTCTTCCTCTGAGTTTTTTTTCTTAAAACATATGCACTAATAAAAAAATAAAAAAATTACAGTCTTTTTTTTCATCTATAAAATAAGAAAGTGGGGCAAGGGTCAAATCTAAAACTAATTGAAAAACGTCAAACTAGTATCTTTATATCAAATGACCCCTTCCAAGAAGCAATTATTGGCGAAATTCGTCGAAAAAAAAAATGTAAGCACATAACAGGTGCTGAAGTAGATTTGTAGATGTGCAATGTTATCAATGTTAGTATTGACGTTATCAAAAAACCAAGTAAGAAGCATTTACGTGCCCTTGAACCTTCTGTTAGACTATGGAATGAACACTTCAGCTTAAAAGCGTATCGTTTGATAACAATTAAGCTCCCTCACATATACTCAAATCTACACATACACATAAAGAATGCTGCTCTTAAGACTCATCAGTGGAGTTGGATGCAATTCAAAACTGATGTACATATTCCCCCAACCAAAGGATCAAAGTGAATTGGATCAAGACAACAGACTGAACATGCACATGTGTCTCCTTTCTCCAAAATTTCATAAGGTGACACAAAATTCTATACACACACGAATGTATGTGCGTGTATTTAATATGTACATGTGTATTCATTTCTCTCTTTGTGAGAACAGAGAAATTCACCCAAGTGTGTATATGAGAAGAATGTACATGGGAAAAACTGCACATAGACTAAATGTTCTCTAACAAGATAACAGATAAATTATGGACAACACACATAAAAATGGTGCCACTAATATTTCATCATTTTTGAGCAATTCCTGAGACAGAGCTATGGAAAAATAAAAGGAAGTCACAACCCAACACTCATGCCATGAGTTACGAAAAGTATAAAAGTTGAAACACTGGTATTTTTCTAGGAACAGACAGTTTAAAAAAACAAGTATAACAATTGGCCTAATTTCATGTTAGAGTTTTGATTATATTAAATGTTTCACATTAGTAGGGAATTGGTGTTAGACACTTGGCTATCATCCTTGAAAAATATAATGCTTTATCCCTACTTTATGCCATACACAAAAATAATTGGATTTAAAGCTCAAGTTAAAAACATAAAACTATTTTTAAAAATCAAGAAAACAATATTTTGGACTGGATAAGACCTGTTAAGGCAAGACGCAAAATGCAGAGATTAAAAAGAAATTAATAAACAGAATTGATATTATAAAACTTGAAATCTTCTCAGTAATTAAAGATACTTAAACAGGCTTGGCCAGGTGTAGTGGCTCGCACCTATAATCCTAGCACTTTGGGAGGGTGAGGCAGGTGGATCTCTTGAACCCAGGAGTTTGAGACCAGCCTGGGAAATATGATGAAACACCGTTTCTACATAAAAATACAAAAATTAGTCTGGTGTGATGGCATGTGCCTGTAGTCCCAGCTACTCGGGAGGACTGCTTGAACCCTGGGAGGTCAAGGCTGCAGAGAGCCATGGTCGTGCCACTGCACTCCAGCCTGGGTGACAGAGCAAGACCCTGTTTCAAAAAATGAGTAAGATGCAATAAAATAAAATAAGGCTTACAGATAAGCAACATCCTGGCAGAAAATATTTATTATTTTTACCATAAAAAGGATTAATATATTCTACATAAAAAAAGCCCTTGAAAAGAAATGAAAATTCAACGTAATGGAAAAATGGGCAAGGGTATGAACAGGCAAGTCACAGAAGTAGAAATAAAACACCTAACAAATGCAGGGGGAAGTGATGGAATTTTAAAAAGGCGACTTAAGTCAAACCAGAATAATCAACTTTTGCATATACATTTCTATTCACTTTAAAGACTTACATTGCTTTATATCTTTATAATAATTGCCATTTTTCTCATTAGCAGGAGCATAATTGTGAGGATGATCTTCATGCTTTTCTTCCTGTTTATTAACATCTTCATTTAAAGGCATCACATTAGGCAATGCTAAAAAAAAAGTATTACACACCATAGATCACAAATATGTTGATTTCTTTTACTGCTTTCTTTTTCTAACTGCATTTTTTTCACAAAGGATTAGAGGCAGAGATTTAAAATCTAAAGCATACCATATCTCCAACAATAAAGTTTATATCATCCTGTAGAAAATTGCCACGTACCAATTTTTCATAATTATGAGTCATCCTTCTTACCTACTACTTTTATAAAAGTTTTAAATACTCTCTCACCTTCAATAGTAGGCTTCAAAGTGCCACCTTTCAAGGAAAAAACTCCAGGTATAAAAATAAACAATATAAAATTCATTGGGAAATTGAAGTGATTTATCCAGTAACCTAGTGCGTCTTTCCAGAGCCTCCTTTCTGTGGCCCAGCAGGTCCTGTGTCTAACTAGGACATTATGACGTCACTGTCAGAGGGGCATCAGAATGCTGGTGGGGGTGGGGTTCCCAACAGCTTTGTGACTCAGTCTGAAGACTGCTTTATCTCAGGTACTATAATGGTTTTTAGTTTTTTTAAAATAAACCATTATAAGATTTTCTTTGAAAGTTAATAAATGTGTTTTCATAAAAGAATGTTAATTACTCAGTTCTGGATTTTAAAGAACCATTTGTAGAGCACTCGATTCTGTGGCTAATCAGGGCGCCACTTGTAACGCGCGCACGGACCTAGGGGACTGAACACAGTGGGGCAAATGCAGGAATAAAAGACAAAGACAAAAGAGTATATTTGGAAGCACCCTGCCTCTAGTGGACAAGGGCCCTGAGCTTTACACAGCCCTCCTTATTTATTAGGCAAAAGAGATAGTGAGAAGGAGGGTGGAAGAAGGGGTCAGCTGCTCGGTCCAAAGTAGGCTTGTAAGACTACATTCTCTAGATGTCGCAGTAGATAACCTCGGGCCAGAGAGTAATTGCCTCCAGCAAACCTTCTGTGGGCAGGAGCAGTCGTGAATTTGCCCATATCCTGCATTCATAAAAAACAGTTTGCTGTTTGATCATATAGTCTCCAGTGGAATTCTGAGTTGGTCATGTCCCACGGGCCTTTGGCTCCCTGCAACCATTAATATTGTTAACAATAAAATGAGAACAGATCTGTTTCTCAAAGCATTGCAATATGATGTGTTTTATTGGATAAATGCAACAAAAATATCTTTTAAAAACTAGTCAGAGGCTGGACGCAGTGGCTCACACCTGTAATCCCAGCACTTTAGGAGCCTTAGGTGGGCAGATCATTTGAGGTCAGGAGTTCAAGACCACCCTGGGCAACATGGTGAAACCTCATCTCTACTAAAAATACAAAAGTTAGCCAGGCATGGTGGCCCACGCACTTGAACATGGGAGGCAGAGGTTGCAGCGAGCTGAGATTGCACCACTGCACTCCAGCCTGGGTGAAGAAGTGAGTCTCTGTCTCCAACAAAACAAAACAAAACAAAACAAAACAGAAAGCAAAACAAACAAAAACAACAACTAGTTGGAAAAACCAAGTTCTGATGCCAAACGCCTGACAAGTCTACAAGTTCTGGTTAATGGATTATCTTAACTATAATTCTTTAGAAAAGTTCTCTAAAACTATCATTTTTAGATTTTAAGACCTATATTATATAAATAATAAGTTTCACAGCCAGTACTATTTAAGACTCATTTATTGGGTTGAACTTGTTTACTTTATATATTTATATATATAATTTTTCCTCATGTCTAAAAGAATTAGATGT